CACACACACACACACACACACACACACAGCGCACACCCACAAGGTGGGTGGCCCTTGCCACTCTGCTAGCTCCCCCCTCCCTCTCCAACCTGGCTGAGAATCCCTTACAAATGGGAGCCTGTCCCGTCTCGCAGGTGTGCTGGAGGAGGGGAAAGGCCGAGAAGGGTGGCTCTGGCTGCCAAGAACCATTTGAAGTTTGGAAGCTCGGGTATGACTAGTGAGAACAGACCGCTCAGGCTGAGAGAGTGGAAGGGTTGGGATGGGGGGAGGCCAGGAGGCTGTGGCTAGCTAGTGTGAAGGGGCTTGAGGCTGATGAAAGGGTCTGGACTAGAACGGCATCAGAGGAATAAAAAGCAATTGAGGACGCAACAAATACTCCAAACAATCGACTTGGTGCAAGGGCGAAGAAAAGGGAATATTTAGATGATTTCAGTGTTCTTGTCAGAAATCAAAGTCAGAAAGGACCACCATGGCCCACTGCCACACTTTCTTTTTTCCCCCTTTTTTTATTTGCCAGAGATTATGGGCTCAATTTTAAAACTGGCAAAGCTATTTAAAAAGGAAGTAACCGGCAGGAGGTTGGAGTTTTTAGGACGGGGCTCTGGTGAGAGGTTGGGGGAGGGATGGGTTTGAGTGTCAGGGCTGTAGGAATGCGTAGCATCTCTTAGGGAGTGTAGGTAGAGCAGAAGGACAGAGAGCCAAAGACTAGTGGAGACTTTGTCCAAAGAAACAGAAGATAGAAATTCAGCCAGAGTTCAGCGTCGGGAGTTGGTCACATTCTCTAAGATCTAATTTATTGTCGATTCTCCTGAATGAACAGTCAGAATGGTTTCCGATGCTTTGACTGACACTGTCATTGTATGAGTGGCCGCACAGCATACACCTGCCCGTTGAAAATTGAATTACTTCTTTTCAACAGCCCAAGGAGGCCGTGCCACCAGTAAGGTCGTTTTTAAAAACTCATATACATTTTCCTCTCCTTTGAAAGTATACATGCTACCAAATCATTGAAAATAAATCTCATTATAGGCTAGGTTTATTGTCTTCACCATTTAAGGAGATTCCTTGGGTTATTATAAATGATAAAATAAATGTTCAGAGTGTGTCTAATAAAATTAGAAAAAATAACACCTGTGTATACGGTGTCTGCTTCTGGACAAAGCAAAACTTTGAGGGCTTCTTTGCTAGCATAACACAGCTTTTTAACATCCTTTTAAGAAGTACCTTTGGGGTATTACTCAGGTTATGTGGAAGAGAAAAGAGAGGAAGGCATGGTGTCAGAGATTTAAGAGTGCCTCCCCCCTCAGAAGGCGTACATCTTTCCAAGTCTCCTTTAATATTACATCTTCTCTAGATGGTGCCTTATTTCATTTAACAATACAAAACAAAAAAAATTATCACACGAAATTAATATTTTGACTGTATGTTACTAAAAAGGTACTTACTCTTAGAAGTAATGGATAAGTCCACGCACTAATTTAATTCCGGCAGTCTGCGGTTATTGGTATGAATGTGTGGATTTTTCCCTCCCTCCCTGAACCTTCCAGTGGGCTTGCTGAAGCAGCTGCTCGTACAACAGCTGGGTTTGACTGAGAAGAGCGCTCAGGAAGACTGGCCACATTTCCCAAGCTACAGGACAGCGTCTTCAGGGGTGCAGACAGACGGTGGGGCCCAGAACTCGGAGAACAGTAAGGCCTATCCTCCTGTCGAAGGACAGATGCCCTTTAGAACTGGAACTGGTGACATTGCAACTTGTCACAGTCCACGGACTTCAACTGAATTTCCGGCTCCACGGGATTCAGTGGTACTGGCCTTCCAAGATAGCCAGGCAAGTACCATCTTCGCCATGGACCACATGCTTATGACCCCAGAGATGCCTCCTGCAGAGCCAGAAGGGAGTCTCGATGAGAGTGGAGAGCACTTTTTTGATGCCCGTGAAGCACACAGCGATGATAATCCATCAGAAGGTGATGGAGCAGTTAAGAAGGAAGAGGATGTTAATTTGCGCATCTCAGGCAAGTTTCTTTCACATTTTAAACTTTGATTTTGATCGTTATCTGTGCTGTGTGCTGAGACGGATGTTGTTTGGGTATGCACACATCATCCCTGCGTGTGTGTGGGTGAGTGTGTAGCACTTACTGTTTCATGCGGTCAATAATTACTGAATCTGCTCTGTGCCAGACCCCATCCCAGGTGCTGGGATAGACGGTATTGGCTAAAACCCAGAAAAATCCACTATCTTTGTGAAGCTTAAGTACTAGTGAGGAACGAGTCATGGTAAATAAGTAAACCAACAGATGTCAGATGGTCAGAAGAATTAGGAGGAAATGTAAGGCAGACCCAGGGGCAGACAGGGCAGTCGGGGAGGAGGGCCTCTGTGAGTTGCATGGGAGCAGAGCGGCGTGGGTATGAGGGAGGGGGGGTGCAGCAGAGAGCCGGGGCGCACATGGCGGGAGATGAGGCGCGAGAGCTCTGCGGCCGGGAAGCAGAGGCAAGATCATACGGGGACTTGGTAGTTTCCAGCTTTTAAGATGCTAACTAATTTGGAATTATTTGGAAATCACATGAAAGTTTGCTAAGTTTAGCTTCAACCTGAAGTGAGAAGATTCTGATGTACTTAAAACTGAACTCGGGAAGTGGGGAATTAATGGTTTTTCCCCCTCTCTAATGGCTTTTAAGGTTGTCAGCATATCACTTCATCTCTCTTTTTTGATGTGAGGGTGGCAGCACAAAGTTCATCAAGCTGCTCTGTGTCTGTCAACAGGAAACTATTTGATTCTGGATGGCTATGAAGCGGTGCAGGAGAGCTCCACAGATGAGGAGGTTGCCTCCTCACTTCCCCCGCCACCCGCGACAGGCATCCCCTCCATGGACTCTGCCCCCCCGCAGCATCCCTCGCCCCAGCGTGCCCATTCCGATGGGGCAGCTTCACCGTTCACCCCAGAATTCCTGGTCCAGCAGCGCTGGGGAGCTATGGATGATTCCTGTTTTGAGATCCAGAGTCCCCCGTCTTGTGCAGACTCACAGAGCCAGATCATGGAGTACATTCGTAAGATCGAGGCTGACCTTGAACACTTAAAGGTACCTCAGACCTCAGCGTCCTCGCGGCTTGGGTAAAGAAACGTATTTCACAGAGAGGAGGTAGAGAACGACCACAATGCTGAAGCCAGTGAGCTTGTTCAGGTTCTAGATTTGCTGTTTTCCTTGACCATTACCCGTGAATAGACTTGGGTAAAAAGCCGAGATTAGCACGGTGCATCTGGTTGCAGATCACAACAACGGAAAACATCGTAGTACTATATAGATGGCATGTTTGTGTGGGTTTCTCAGTGTAAGAACCCAAATAAATTTGGGATGATTGGCTGGCCTCCCTGAGAAAATGAACAGCAAGCCAATGACATAGGAGGGCTTGTGTCGGTATGAATCTCGGCTAGGAAATGCTTTCACTTACTAATTATCCGTGAATTGTTAGGTGATGTGGGTAGTTCCCCAGACGCTCTGACACACAAAAGTTGGCTCCAGTGGCCCCCATGATCTGGAGAGCTAGACATGAATGGAATTTTGTGAATTGGAGTTGAGGTCACTCTACGGGCCGCTATTTCAAAACTGACTTCAGTGGTGATTCTAAGAAAAGGACTTTATCCTAAAGTTTGGCATCAGTAGACACAACTGCTAGAGCCCAAATGTTTTTTCATGACTTCATTTAGTTCGAGGCTTCGGAACATTAAAAGTGTTCTTAGCCGTTTAGCTGAAGACTGATGTCCCTTAGTTTTTCTTTTAACTTCACGTGATAGGTTTTCCCTTCTTCATGTGATTGTAGGTGGTGTCATCCAGGGGCTGATGAGGTATCTAGAAGGCCATTGTGGGCAGGTTGGCCCTAATACAGCTCATGTCACCTGTGGGACCATTTTCAGGGTGACTCTGGGGGTAGGAGAATCACCTTTACGTGACAGAGTTTTAAGTTACTCACTCCAGGGAGAAACAGGTAAAAGGAATGCAGTTCACTTTTCTCCCTGCCACTAACAAAATTCTTAACGACGTTAATGTTGAAATCTGGAAGCACGTACTGGTAATAGGGAAAAGGTTGCCTTCCTGTTTTCATAAAGAAAAATGATGATGTTCAAATGGCAAACGTACGGGTTTTATTTTGCAGAAGGTGGAGGAAAGTTACAGCAGGCTTTGCCAAAGGCTGGCTGGGTCAGCCCTCACAGACAAGCACTCAGGTATGTTAAAGTTGTGGATGCCCGACTCTCGAATCATTCTGCCTGAACAGTACATCGAATGAAATGATTTATTCTTCTTTAAAGTGGAAACCTCCCGAGATTCCATTTCTTTCCTGTCTTTAAAAAGCCACTTGTTCGCAAACATCGTAGATCAAGCAGAGGCTGTTACCTGCTGACGCTGCGCCTCCCCTTCTAGGCGGAGCTGTGGCTGTCTTTTTTCTGTGCCATCCCCCCCCCCCTCCTTCTTTACCTTTGCAAGAGCAGAAGACAGGGCAGGGGTAAGCCTGGTAAATCCTAGATTTCTGAGAGATTTGCCGCGCTGATGTGAGGGAGGCTCGTGCCCCGCGGGCCTTGCTGCGCCTTGGTGTCTGTCCTAACGGCGGGAGCGTGGTCTCCCTGTGACTGCAGACGGATCTGTGTTCAGTGCAGCAGTTTGTCCTCATTTGCTTACGTGTTTTCCCGTGAGGCCTTTCTGATCCAGAGAGACATACTGAGACCCACAGATGTCAGATGTTCATTTGTTCTTAATTTGATCTCCACACATCTTTATTCTTCCCAGATAAAAGTTAGAACCGCGTGTCCTGGAGGTGACTGAAGGCTGTTGGACTTTGAGCGTCGGCCTCACATCACCCGTCCTGGGCTCCACTGCGGACGCAGAGAGTGTGTGTGACAGAGGGTCTGCCTGCGAAGCCCCGGGGGTGGCCGCGTGCCCGGGCGCCCAGAGCGGGACTCGTTCCTCACCGTCTGCCAGCTGCACGGGTCTGTCGGGGGGGAGCCCTGACTCTCTCACTCTGCTCTCCTCACTAGTGGAAATTCATTTTGATTCAGAACAAAAACCAAATGTATAGAGCTTTGGGTGTAGGATATGAAATTTTACTTAGACTTAAGAAAAAGAGAAAATCAGATGTATTTATTTGACTTCATTCCGTATTTGAAAGCACATTTTAATTTTTATTTTGCCATGTTTTGTTTTAATTGAGTAGTGAGAGTTTTAGCCCTTCGTATTTAGTACACCCAAGGGTCAGTTGCTCCTGAAGCCAAGAGTTCCGGATGAGGTATTAGGAGGCTGGGTGGAGAGGCAGAGAGGAGGAGGTAAGCCAGGGAAGGGAGGAGCATCCAGCCCTCATGAAACTGTATTCCATGCTCTCTGCCGCCCGGTAGGCACTGTCTTTGAGGCTCAGTATGCCCATGGCTCCTGCATGCAGAGGACTTGAGCTGTGTGCTACCCAGGTGGGCAGAGAGGTAGGTAGGCTTCCTCCCACCTGAGGCAGGCACCTCTTCTCTGTAGCTGGGATCCACCCCCAATTAACAGAAAATCCTCAGTGTACTAAATAGCAGGCACTTGAAAATGGGTGTGTTTTCTTCTCTTCTTTTCTATTGAGGGTAGGGATTTGGGAGGGAGAGGAAAGCAAATTTTATTTTCTTGGCTATAAATTTGTTATTCTTGGTATTGTTTCATTTTTATAATTATACATTAGACCTGGGCACTTGTGTAAAATTATCCCTGCGGATGGAGCAGGAAGGAAAAACAAACAAATGGAGACACTTCGGATGGTGGCAGGGGTGGGGGTGCGGAGGAAGGGCGGTAGCGGGGGAAAGAGTCTGGGAAGGTTAGCTAACTGAATCACTACTGAGTTGAACCATGGCTGTCATTAGCCACGGGTACTGCTGAACATAAGGCCAGTAACATTTTAGTACCTGGAGGTTTGACTCTAATATTAAGTTTGCACTGATGGTGCCAAAGGGCTCTTTGAGGTAAGAGGAGAGCCACGAGCGGAGTGGTGAGGATGTGGTGGAGAAGGCAGGGCTGCTCAAACCAGCTCCAGAACCACGTCCTCTGACTTCACTGCCGGAGCTTTCTCCACACTGGTGCATGACTGACCTTCACCATTGCAGACCAGAACATACACTGGAAACTGTGGGCAAGGGGTTGCTGACTGCCTGCTCTCGAATGAATCGTAGTATTGGCAGCACCCTACAGAGGATCAATGTTGCAGAATTGTGACTCGAGAACTCCTTCAGTTATATTGGCTTTCTGTGGTTTTCTTTGTGCATCGGGTATATGTGTTTTGGAGTATTTTTGCCAACTAGCACTAAATCATTTGTCAAATCTTCAAATTCCGTTAATATGCAAACCATTCCTCCACCGCTCATATCTTTCAGTAGTGCCCTCTGAACCCTGTGGGTAATCGGGTTGTCATTTTACTCTTCTCCTGCACTCTCATGGCAAGTGATGAGGCTTCCCTACTACTTTCATAAACACCACTACAACTTAACCAGCTCATCCGTGTCCGCATTCCTGTTTCCTGCCTTTTCAAACCCGATCTAGGTTTTTAAGTAGCCCAACTCGGATCGTTGGATATCATCTCTAAATTAGAATGCTATTTTGAGTTGTAGACCAAGTATCAATTAAACCAGAGTGGGAGTAAAAATTTTGGAAGCAGAAGCTAGTAAGTGAAGCTTGGGACTTGAACTTTCTGTAGCTCTTAAGCAGGTAGAAACGGAATGGTTACGTGCGGCTGGAAACAGGTAGTCACTCCCAGCTGAAAGGGTAACACACCTGCAGCCACATGACACCGGTGTCCTCAGCTGGCATTTAATTAGGAGAAAGGTAAATAAAAACTAGAATGTTCACCTTAAGTTCAGATAGTCCAGGGGTAGTCACGTGATTCTCTAGCATGCATTTAAGGAACTTTTAGGTTTCTGTTCTAGCTCAGCCAGATCTTGTCCTTAACAACGATTTGCTTTTCTTTTCCTGCAGTTTAACCTCTCCTTAGAACCGGGCTAACTGGAAAAATACTTTGACCATAGCTCTAGTACTTCCAAATAAATTCATACCTAGATTTTTAAATGAAGCCCCACAACAAAGTCTTAAGTCTGAAAACGTTCCACAATTTTGAGTGTTCTTTTTATCTTAACCAGCCTAACTTTTCCCCTCCTCCTTCCTTCTCAGCCTCACCTCCCACACCCTCCTTTTCTTTGGGCCTTTATAATCACGTCCACTTTACTTTGATACCATATATGCCCTTCAGGATGATGGAATTAGATATTCATCCTTTGAGTGACAGTGGTCACCATCAAAGCTGTTTTCTCAAAGTTACTTGACTAAAAGGTGGATCCAAGGGTGGTGAACAAAGCAACCTCCCCAGAGCTGGAGAGCTGGGTTTTAGCCATTGAAGTGACCTGCTGTGACCCTGGGCTCTCTTCTGTGGGCCTAATGGGTCCTTTGCTATTAAATGGCAAATTACACTTGGAGTGTCTCCTTCCTTTTCAGAGAACAGAGTTAATCAAGGCAAATCAGCAAGCCCCCAAAGTGCTATAATTTAAAATCATGATTACAGCCCTAGAAGCCATATATTTTGCATACTTTAAAATCAGCTAACTCGGACTGCCTGAGTTGTCTTGGCTTTTAGAACCTAAACTGTTAACTATTTATTATGTTTTACCGTAAGAAGGTATATTTCATTAGCTTTTTGGCTTCCCGTTCCCCAGAACAACTTCTAACCACTGTTAGGAAGGATGTGCCTCTTTATCTTATTTTTTTTTAAGATTTTATTTTTAAGTAACCTCTATACCCAACATGGGGCTCAAACCCACAACCCCAAGATCAGGAGTCACATGCTCTACTGAGGGAGCCAGCTAGGCACCCCAAGGGTGTGTCTCATTAAAAACAGTTTTCTCTTTGTTTTTGGAGGAGAGAGGGGGAACCTAATGTGATTAAAGGAGACAAAGCTTATTTTTTTTCTTTTTCGAAGCTAAAGAAAATAATTACGCTTCCTGTGAGTTGTCTTTTACTTGCATACTTTTTTTGGGTGATGTTGGTAAATTAGGTATATTACATGGAGCTTCTGTATTTCAAACTGGAAACTGTCTTCTCTGAAGGTGGTATATGATGTTATTTTGAGCTACTAGAGCATTGGTCAATATTTCCTTCCCTGTATGTCACAGAGGGCATCACTTAGAAGTGTGTACAGAGGACCTCAAAATAGAAAATTCGGCAGGACCTAGTCCTCTTTCTGCTGGCTAGTTTTTTCCCCTCTACCATTAGAGTTTTTGTTTTGCAAATCCTGTTTTCTTCTGACTGTCCCACCCCTTTTCAGAGATCGGCAAAATTGTTCTTACTTCAAGAAGAGTTTCTTTTGCCTCGTTCCTTATGCCTTCCCCACTGGTACTGATGGTTTTGATAATAAATTGGTAGAGAACAAAAATGTACCTCATAGAAGGAAGCCCTGTCTGCCATTTCCAGGTGCCAATGGCTAAGATGTACTGCAAAAGTGATATAACTGTAATGTGCACACTATTGGTTATTTTTAATAAGCCTCTTCCTACTAGAGCATTTTATTTTCCTTGTTCACCATACAATCATGTACTCTTTAACAGAAATTACTTTTAAAAAAATCTGGAACTATCTTTAAAAAAAAACTTTATTAATAATCATGTATTTTTACTGATCACATTTTGAAATGCCTAAAAGACTTTATTGTTCTAATTATCCAGATGTACCTTTGTAAAATAGCTCTTTTATGAATTAGCTGATAAGGCTGTATGTTTCTGGAACAAAATATTCGTCATCTAAAAACTTTCTGTTTTCTGGGGTCTGGGAAAATAGAAAATGAGAGTTCAAATATTAAATATGCTTAAAGGAACCAAGGATGTGACTTTTTATTTATATTCTTCTTGATCTGACTTACACAAGTTACACTGGAAAAGCTTAGGCACCAAGGAGGCCTTAATTAATCTTACTGGCAGTGAGCGTCCCACATCTTGCTGCTTGTCAGAGCGTCTTTTCTAGTGAGACCAGCCGGCTGACCTCTAACGTGTGAGCCTCCATGAGACTAGCAGCTGGGAATTGCCACTGCACATGGGGCAGTTTTACTGAGGCTTAGTGCACATAGCATACAATTCACTCCTTTCAAGTGTACAGTTCAGTGATTTTTGGTGTATTTTTTTAAATTGTAAAACATATGCTCATAAAAGTTGTCATTTTAACCATTTTTAAGTGTATAAATCAGTGGGATTAATGGTTCACTTGAAAATAACTTGGGCTTCCTGCTACCCTAAATGAAAATCTGATGTCTTTATTACCATCCTTATCCCCAATGCTAGACTAACTAAAGGAGCAACATTTCTATGCTTTTACTGATCCCATTTCAACTCTGAAGGCTCGCTGAGTTTGGCTTTTGGGTATGTTGGTTTTGACATAGAAGTATCATTTGACATTCTTGGGATGATATTTGAATTTTCAGTCATTCGGGGGCACATTTGGCTGATCTAATAAGTGTAGCAAAAAAATGCTTCATATTTTATAGGATTTTTTTAGTTCAGCCTTTTAAATATTAAGGCTATTCAAATATCCTTTGCGGAAATTAACCTGTTAGTAGTTGCAGTTGTGTTTACGGGGATAGCTGGGAAGGGGGATGAATACCTCCTCCATTCGTACCTGCTCCTGGATGGCCATCTTCAAAGGAGAGCACTATCTCTGCGCTTGAGCAGTTCCTTTCACTTTGGGCTGCCCTCTTCGAAGCTACGGGACCAGCTCACCAAAGGTTCAATACCAACTTGAAAAATAAGAGGATCTATCCCAATAAGTAGTTGCTTTTCAGTGGAACATGATGTCTTCCTACTATGACAAATGTCCTAAAACATTACAGATAAATAGCTAGATGTAGGTGTTTCCCATTTTTTTTCTGTCATGTCAAGTATAATTCATCCCGCTCACAGCAAGCGCTTGCCTGATTTTAGCCATCAGGGGGCATGTTT